GGTTTTTGCGGGCAGGGCTATGAAGGAAACGTCTCTTCCCGGCGAGAGACTACCCTAAGGGCACGTTTATTTGGCTTCACTAACCTGGACTGAACTGGACTAGTTTTTAGTATAATCCTCTATTTGTTGGCTGACAGGACTAAGTTTAATGGTATTAAGTGGGACTCGCTTTCACTAACTCCTTCGTTAGGTGGTCCAAGCGAGACCTCCCAAATACGAGCGGACTAGCTAAGACCATCGTCGTCCTCCTGCTCGCTCGCTCTTCGTGTTCGTCCTGCTCGCCCTACTCGTCATGCTCGTCTAGATCGTCTGATCGCTCGACTAACTACATCGGCCACGCTCGCTCGCTCGAGCAGGCTAAGAAATCGTCAGTCTCTCTCTCACTCGTCATTTACAAATTCCATTTGTTGTTTTGATTATGTGAAATCTGGATTGCTTTGATTTTGTGAAATCTGGGTTGGTCTTATGCTTTGAAATTGCTTGTTCTTCAATGATTTCTGCTTCTGGGTATTTTATGATGTAGTTGTATGGATTTGATTTCTGCTTCTGTGAAATTGCAAATTCCATTTGCTGCCACTGTAAGTTAATTCATCTGTGTCTCTTGATTCAATCTTTGACTCCTGATACATTGTTTAGGTGGCTTTTAACCTCCTGCATAGAGCTACTTGATATTGTATCTATCAATCTATGCGAGGTCCAAGGTTTATCTTTCAATTTACTAATTTATCTTTGGGGGGAATTTTGTCATAATGAGTTAGATAGAGGCGTTCTTAGGGCTTATTTAGCATTATAATCAATTAATAAATGGATCGTATGGATCATTGTTGTTCCATAAAGTAGTTAATTGGTTATCAATATCATCTGTAAGGAGTGATGTCTGGATTAAGCTTGCAGCTCTGTTCCTTTGTTTGGAAATTTTGTATGGGTTGGATGTAAGCATGAATCCTGGATTGTAAGATTATGGTGCCCTTTAACTGAAGCTTGTCATGTATTTGATTGAAATAATATGAAATAAGCACAACTGGTTGCTGATGGTGATCCAATGTAGTTTTTGGGACCAAATGAGACAATGCTCTAGATACCTGAAACATCAGTACTGAAAATGAAACATGATTGAGAAAGTCTTAGAAAAACATCCTACCTTTATATATAGGTACGTCAGATAGGCACACTCTTTCTTTGGCTTTATTCTTACAGCCAATTCTCTGTTTAGAATTGATGATATCGGAGCATTGATCTCCTTAACCTCCTTTCCTTCAATAATTGGCTATATTTTCTTATGATATCATAATAGGTTTTGCAAAAGGGGTATGGATGATGGGCGTGATTGATGAGATTCGAATGCCTGTTATAGAAACAAACCGAAACCCAATATTAGTTGACACAAGGACTCGTGTGAAAGATACACTTACTGTTGAACCACAACGAAGAAATGGAAGGTATGCACCTTTATTAGCTTCTGTTTTGGGCTGATTTTTTGTTGCCAAGTTGCCATTGATGAGGAAATGCACCAGAATGAAGTCACACTCTATTATGGCAGGCTTCAATTAATGTGCTACAAGTACATTTGGGATGATTTAGTTGCTGATAAATTCCCATCAAAGAAATTTTTCACTTTTTTTCCTTAAATCCTCATGGTATCTTATATGAAGAAATCAGAGAGATGGCTGCTAACTCAAGGTTCCCAGTAGAGGTAAAGTCTCTCCATTGAATTATTTGATACATTTAGTCTAGGAAATCAGGATTTTCGGGGTTTTCTATTGTTTGATGTTCCCATTATCACTATACTTGCTTCAAAAACCAATCACTTGATATTAAGGATGCTTTTTTTTAGTAATTTGTTTTGTTTATTAGTTCATAAACAAAATTGTGTGACATAGATTTTTCAGATAATTACCACTGATGACATAGGTGAAAAATTTGTTTCATAAACAAAATTTGTTTTGTTTATTAGTAATTTGTATACGTAAACAATTTCTCTTGGTTGTGCAGACCCTTGATGACATAGTGAGATACTACAGAAACATATGTAGCATGCTGCCCTCTACACATGACCAGCTGCTATTGAGGTGAGTATAAAATTTATACACGAGATCTTTTACATTTGCTTGGTCACAATAACTTTTGGGAAGATACTGATATGACTATTTTTGAGTCAGATATGAGTTACAGAAAGATCATTCGTTACTTGGTAAAGATGAGTTTGCATACGACTCTGATTGGGTCAAGAATCAAATACAGGGTTGTCTTGAGTTCTGGTTAGGAGAGCGAGAAGCAAGATACACTCCTAAGGATGAGGGATGGAAATGCAGGTTCTGTCAATATTCTTCTGTTTGCCCCGCTAGAAGTGCAGAGTCTGCAAACTATACTAATACACCAAGTTAGAGAAAAGCAGTAGCATTGGTGATGTTTCAATCAACATCGTCAGTAAGTGTACAAAGAAGCACAATTCTTGGAGTTGCTTTTTTGGGGTAATTGCTGTGTTGGTTGTGCCATGAATGTATCGTTCATGTTGTATTGTAGCCGTTGTTTGATTCAATTGTTGTAACTTATTCTTTGGATGAAATCATTAAACATGAGTAGTAAAATTCAATTGTTTTGTATTGAAAGCTACGCTCAAAGTGCAAAGGATGTCTCTCTATCAAATTTAGCAAAGTCAGATAGTGATGTTACAATTGTATGTTAACATTAGGATGAATGAATATGGTATTATTCATGGATTTTGGGAGGCTGTGAAGAAGAAATCAAAATTTTCTTCCTCCAAATTTGTGGTCTGATAAGTTTGAGTTTTTAACAATTTTGGGTTGCTGAATGTTTATAGATTTCTCAATATAGAGGCTTAAAGTGATTTTAGACCAAAAAGTCAGAAAGTTTGATGTACTGATTCTAAATTCCTAAGTTGTAGGAAAGCGCTGTTTGTTTTTGCAAATTGCAATGCTACAATGCACAAAAACTCAAAATTTTCTTTCATTTCCAAGCAATTGTTGTTGAGTTTAATGTAATTATCATTTGATTTGACTGAGGGTATTTTGCAGTTGAGTTGGATGTAATTCTATCGTTAAAATTTGTAATTTCACTATTTTTCATTATCTTGGTTTTTAGTCCGACACTCCACCAAACGCTTCACTAAATTAATCCAGCTTAGTCTATTCTAAGCCAGTCCAGCTTAGTCCCTGAAACTAGTCCAGTCCGAGATAGTCCGGTGCAACAAACGCACCCTAAATGCCTAGGCTATCGCCTTAGGTGCCTGGCGACGTGGGCATTTGAATTTTATTTTTATTATTTTAAACAGCCCACCCAAAATGACACCGTTTTGGGTAGGTTTTATAAAATTCATGCTAATTTTACGTTTCTAACATTTAATATGACATTATAATGTGAATTAGAGAAATAACAATAAGTCAAATATTTGATTGCTTGGCATGCTTGCTAGAGGTTATGCATGAAACACCTTGACTTTGCTTTCACATTTTAAAACATTATTCATTATTATTCCCTGCTTAAATACCATTAAGTTCCAAATTAACATTTATGTCTATGCTACTCAACTGTAACATTCCATATGCATAACTAATCTAATGAAATCATGAGATCTGTGAAAACACAGCCATGGAAAGCAAATGACTAAGGGCAGCTGCAACTGATGATAGCATTTGGTAATTAATGCCTGCAATTTTAAATGCGGTTTTGAAAGCCTAAACCGTCTTAGATGACTAAAATTACCATATGTTATAGTAAAGCAGTGTGTTTGAACTAGGACGCCACGCTCTTTTCAAAAATATATCATGGGCCAAAACAGAGATCGGACATTAAATCTGCGTTCTTGTCTTCCTTAGGTCCATTCTCAAGCAACCCAAAAATCTCAACCAAATATTCTTCTTCCTCTTTTAACGCCATATTTGTTGAGTGAAGTTTTTCTTTCATGAGTCATTTCTTATCAATTTTAAAAGTGCTTCATTCATAGAAATTCACCTAAATATTGTCCTACATCAAAAAACGGAAAGAGGAAAGAGAATCGGGTGAAAAGGCTTAAGAGGATAGAGAGAGGGGGGGGGGGCATGGGCGATGAAGAGAGAGAGAGTTCGGTAACAAAAGAGAGACATAAGTTGGATGGTGGGAAAGATGAAAAAAGCCGTGTGCAAGATGAGAGAGAAAGAAAGCGTGTGTGTCCGTTTGTACGATGTGCGTGTCAGTATGTGTAAGAGCCCGTGTCATTGTGCATGTGACGTGTAAAATGTGACGTTTGTTCTTTTTATCGTAACATTAAATAAAGTTATTAAAATATTTTTAATTAAAATTTAAAGTTTTAAATTTTTTTTCATTAGTTTCTCTTTAATTTAATGAGGGCCATACCCTTATATATGATACTAAATGTGAGGGCCATATACTTATATTCTACCAACTTCAAGGTTTTAAAAAACGTGCTAGTCGGGTGTTAGGCTTAGGCTATGTTAGTTTTTTTTTTTTTTTTTTTAATTTTTAATTAAATTTATTATATAACAATAAGAATATATAAATAAGTGACTAATTATACCCTTATTTATACTTATATACATATATGGAGATGGATCCGTAGCATCAATTTTTTTATAAAAACTTTGACATATGTTCTTGGGGTCCACTCAGTAATGTATTTAAGTTTTAGGTCTTTCTTTAAAGATCATATCTATAAGAAATTACATAAATTTGAAACAATATAATCGTTAGATTAAGAGTTTAATGTTTCTTTGTACAACCGTATTCGTCAATTTTCATCATTACAAATAAATATCCTAATGGTTTTAAATTGACCCCCATACACACACACACATATATATATTTTCTTTTGCATTTAGAAACATAATATACAAACTACAATTTTACAGATGCACCTTCCCTAGAAAATTAGAAATAGAAGTTAACGAAAAGGACATGGGTAGTTTGGTCATTCCACAACGACAATCCAAAAAGAACACAGTGGCACACGGCGGAAACCTGGGTACTAGATATCCAACACCGACTCCCACAAAAAATGATTGCAGGCAAAGCAGGAGTCAATGGACCCAAAGCCGATAATCACGGTCCTCTTCTTAATCTCCGCCACCGTCATCGCCGCCCAAGAATACGTCCGACCACCGCCTCGCAAGGCCCTCCATTTCCCATGGAGTCGAAAACCCTCTTCGCTTCCCCAGCAGGTGAGTTCATCATCACCTTCTCATCTTCTCGCTGCTCCGTCTCTTTCACTTTCTGGGAAAGTCAAGAGTTTCTGGGGATAAAAAATTGGATCCCAGCTAGATTTTCTATCGAAAGCTGGAAAAAATTTTGCTCCGTTTTAACCTGGGTTCTGTTTGTTTTTGCCAGAAAATAAACTTTCCTTAGCTAAGGTTGGTTTTATCTTGAAGTTTGTTTGTTGGTTTAGTAATTGTTGATTTTTGGTGTTTTATGCTGTTGTTTGATTGAGATTTGCAGAAAAAAGATAGAAAGAAGTTCAGTGTAATAAGGATTGTTGAGTTACTGCTATTCATGGTTGATAGAATATTATGGTAGTGAAATAAAAGGGGTTATTGCTTAGTAAATTAAGAATGATGAATTGTTATTGTTGTAGTTTGGATGTTTGTCCACAGGTTTTTGGTTGTCTATGTTAAAAATAAGTATAGGAATAAATTCAGTGAAATAGAAGCATTTGCTCATTGGCCTCTGAGCTTAATGCGAAATGTGTAGGAGTGTTAAACCAAACATACGTGAAAGCAAATATTTCCTCTACAATGGATTCTGATGCTGCCATAGGGCCTTGTTTGAAAACAGATTTATCGAGATCGAGTCAACTTATTGAAAAGTTTGTGATTGCGACTCAAGGAATGCATTTGTTCGCTGGTAATTCACTCCTCCGCAAGAATTCATGCTGGAATATGAGGAGAGTAAGGTCTTTTTTCAATTAAAAAGTGAAGGGTTAATTCCAATTAGTGATTGGTATCAAACATGCTCTGCCTTATAGTGAGTAATGAATTCAGTGAGACATTTAATATTGTCAAATGAATATAGAGACATCCATTGTGAGATAAGAGATCTAGAGACTTTTGGAAGTAAACATTGTATAAGTGGACCTTTTGGAGTATAGGATATTGTGATTTGTCAATCATTCGTGTTTGTGTTATTCAAGCTCTCCTTTAGTGAGTACTAGTGAATGATTTAGTACAAATGACATTAGGACATATTGTGAGAGAATGATCTCTATTTATATAAGAGAGTTTCTAGTTTCATTCTGACATTGACATTTGTCGTGTTGTGATTGGTTTCTGATGTTGACACGTGTTGCGTTATGATTGGCTTCTGATGTCAACACGTGTCGCGCTGTGATTGGCCTCCTGGTTGGAGGGAAACTCTTCTGGGTCCTTGACGGTATAACATTGACCGGTGCTCAGTAGTTTCGGGATTGGTCAAGTATGGTACAAACACATGCATTCTGTGCTAAACCGAAAAACAAGTGCAGTTTATTGCTAAAGTGTAATTGTTATGTTAATTCCTACTCACTATATTAAATTTGGAGTTCTTGGATGTTATGATTGCTTGGTGACATTATCATTGATAGTGACATAACCTATGTTAATTTGCATTCAGGGCAAGTAATTTGTACGAATTAGTTCTGTGTCTAATATTTTTTCTTTATTGACTCACAATTCCGTAACATTCTTTAGGGTTTATTAATGTTAAGCATACCCTAAATATATCGTTTTCTGCAAAATGGCCTATTGCAGGTGCACATCTCTTTTGCAGGAGACAAGCACATGCGGGTGACGTGGGTCACTGATGATAAATCTGCTCCTTCAGTTGTTGAATATGGAACATCATCTGGGAAATACAGTTCTGTAGCTCAAGGAGAAAGCACCTCCTATACTTATATGCTCTATAAGTCAGGAAAGATACACCATACTGTCATTGGGCCTCTTGAACATGACACCGTTTACTTCTACCAATGTGGAGGCCAAGCTCCTGAGTTTCAGTTCAAGACCCCTCCAGCTCAATTTCCGATTACTTTTGCTGTGGCTGGAGATCTTGGACAAACTGGATGGACGAAGTCAACGCTAGACCACATTGACCAGTGCAAATATGATGTGCATCTGCTTCCTGGAGACCTTTCATATGCTGATTACATTCAGTCTCGGTGGGATACATTTGGTGAGCTGGTGCAGCCACTTGCAAGTGCAAGGCCATGGATGGTAACCCAAGGGAACCATGAAAAGGAAAATATACCATTGTTAAAGGATGGGTTTCAATCCTATAATTCCAGGTGGAAAATGCCGTATGAAGAAAGTGGATCAAGTTCAAATCTTTACTATTCCTTTGAAGTTGCAGGTGTCCATGCTATCATGCTCGGTTCATATACTGATAATGATGAGTATTCAGATCAATACAGGTGGCTGAAGGTTAGTCAAATTTCTCTTCTCCTATCTGAAGGAACAGATTTTTTCTGCTACATTAAATACTGCACATATTTGTAATATTCATTCTTACTCTTTATCAGTAGCTTCTTGGATCTTGTAAATGTTTACGGTATGTGCCATCTGTTGTATGTGTTTCTGTTATAGGTCATAGTTTATGTGACATATTCACATAGGTCCTCCTATGCTGTTGGAGTCCAATAGTTTTGTCTGATTTTCTAGATAATGGGTGCACATGACATGCCTTCCATATGTCTTCATGTATTTCCTCGTCAGAAACCTGGAAATTTCAATCCTGGGTAGAAGGGATGGGCATTGGGCACCCATTGGGTGTCACGGATGTGGTGGTGGTGGTGGTGGTGTTGGTCCATAGTGAGTAGTAATATACGTGTACATGCACAATAACTAAGTGAACCCATTCTAACAATCCATCACAAAGTAAGTTGGTACACAAGTTAGGGAGGGTCAGAAAATCTTTGGAGCCTCATCTGAGGAATTAGAAACATATAAAAAGGAAATTTATTAACATAAATCTCGTTGGGGTGTTGTTCCCAGTGTAGCCTATGGCACCTCAATCTTAAAGCAGGCCTTGAACAATGAGGGGTCCATATTTGAATATAGCTACGAGGCATGGGCTTCAAGAATTATTACAATCACTTCCAATTTAGATGTACTATTGGAGTTGTTTTCTTTTATCTCTCTTGCGTTTGGAACTATTTTCTTCTTTCACTGCCTCTCTTGTGTCAGTCTTTTTATAAAATAAAGTAGTCGTTCTTGTGAAACAGGCTGATCTTTCAAAGGTTGACCGACAGAAGACACCTTGGTTGCTCGTGCTCTTTCATGTTCCCTGGTACAATAGTAACAAGGCTCATCAAGGTGAAGGGAACAGCATGATGGCAGCAATGGAGCCATTGCTTTATGCTGCCAGTGCGGATATAGTATTTGCTGGTCATGTTCATGCTTATGAACGAACGGTAAAGCTATACTAAATTGGCACATATTTCTGTAGTAAATATAGAGCACACAATTTTAATCCATGATGTCTTGTTTGACAGAAACGCGTGAACAATGGAAAATCAGATAGATGCGGTGCTGTCCACATAACCATTGGTGATGGCGGAAACAAAGAAGGCTTGGCTCACAAGTATGTCTCTGCGCTCAAAAGATTTTCAAATTTGCAATTTAGGAAAATAGAATGTTTGTTCAACTCTCATGTGCTTGGAAAAAACAATCCTGAAATCGGTTTCCATGGGATGAGTTCTGGACATTTGAATTTTATATTGTGTCTATGATAGCTAGTAGTTGTTGGCAAATACGAGTCTCAATGGCATTGGTTACTAACTGCTTGTTCCAATTCCTCACAAATTGGCAGGTATAAAAACCCACCACCCGAGTGGTCGGTTTTCCGGGAAGCAAGTTTTGGTCATGGTGAGCTGAATATAGTGAATTCAACCCATGCCTTTTGGACCTGGCATAGGAATGATGACGAGGAGCCTGTTAGGTCCGATCAGGTCTGGATAACCTCGTTGGTTAGTTCAGGATGTGTTGCTGAGAAGACACTTGAACTAACGAAGATACTTACGGAACCATAGATACTTACGGAACCATATATACTAAGATTCTCCCTTTATGTTGTTCTTGGTAGTACATATTATGTATTTCTGGTTATACATTTAAAACCGATGCATCGGTTATACAACACTCGGGTTAAAATGGCATTTCCAAATTGCTTCCTTAGACATTCTGAACGGAGGATAGAACCTGGGAATCACTTAGCCAGGGGCAATAGAATCACTCACGTTGCTAATTGTGGATTCACTCAACACGACCAAGTCTCCCACTTGATTCTAAGGATGAGAAAACTCACTCTCTTCTTGGATTAATTTTTTTAATTCACTAATTGGCTTCTTTATAGATACATTTGGAGCCCCTTAGATAGGGAGATTACAAAGCATTGGTAGGGTAAATATGTAATAAGGTGAACTATATCTCAACCGTAGATACGATTAATTTTGTAACTTCCATAATTTCACCGAAAAACCCGTCACATTTCACTATAAATGAACTTGGATACTCTAAGTGGTGAAACCATTACAAATGAAACGAATGAGTTCATAGCAATGAGTAATCTAGAATGGGAGAGCATTGAGACCCTTCCTAGATTTTCTTTTCTTTCTTTGAAGTTTCTACAACCTCATGAACCGGAGGTGGAGATCAAGGACACTGGTGGAGAGGTGTGAAGAGAGCGGAGCGCTGAGATGGGGGCGGAGCAGAGGATATCCCTCGAAGTGCAAGGTGGATCAGACACTTTTATCCTACAGAGCATGTGTTTATAACTACTCTTAAGAGGTGAAACTTTTGTGTCCATCCAGAGGACCACGTCATCCGTATGCCCACACAAACTCAAGTGGAGATTATCTTTATTAAGCCTATAATCCGACCCTCCCAGAGAGGGTATCAGTTGGAAAATGCTTAGAAAATATCACCTGTCTTCTTCAGGTGCCATGTTCGTGATAGGGTCCCATTCCTTGGCAAGAGCATTCAAGTTGCTCTGGAACGGAGCAACCCTTTCGCCACTGACATCATCGTCAGCCCCTGCAGGACAACCCAAGTAACACAACATGATCCATCGAAAAATGAATACAAGTTAGAGAAGGAAGTTTTTAAGTCTATTTAGGAAGAGAGAGATTGCCTCTATGTGAGCGCCTAGTTTTGTAACGAATGTGTCTGTTTAATTTAGGTTATTTTGAATACAACGATATATTTACACTAAAGGACGAGGGAATTGCACTAAAAGAGCTAGTCATAATAACTAATTTTGAAAGCCCTATCTACGACTACGAGAGTCGAACCTTAAGACTTCTCACTTACAAAATAAGAATATTCGTAGTACTAAGTGGTTGTTGCCTCATAAAGTTAAACATTTGATCTTATAATATAAAGATCTAGAAGCAAAGTGGAACAAGGTCCAACTACTACTGCTGCTTTCACCACCATTCTCCTCCTAACTACATTGTTCCTCTGTTATCCAACCAACCATAATCCGAAGATCACTCCTTTTCGGGCTTTGTTACTCTTGTTCAAAGGATGAACTAAAGTTTAGATATTAAAACAAAAAGGAACTTACAAATAAACCAGAAAGTTAGATCTTCTAATTCAGTTGTTTCACATTGTTGCCTATTATTTCAGGCCTTGCAACTCATAATTGTACCCTAAGACGATGAATAAACTCTTGATCCCTTCACTGGTTTTATGCGATTCTTGTATACCAAATTTCAGAATTTGAAATTTCAAATTATTGACCGTTGGATCTTGGATGATGCTAAACTAAACTGTTAGAAATTTCTATGCAACTCGATTAGTCGGGTTAAAAAGCCATTGCGCACTAGGCCCCTGTACAGAGTTCCAAGCCTGCGCACCCCAAAACTACAAGCTTTGAAGCCGCCAAAAGGGCCAAAACACAAAAGGAAAACTAGTACGGGAAGACTGGTATGTAAATGCTGGAAGAATGAAGGCTGACAAGGGAATGTAGTCAGATGACATTTAATTTTTCGTCTTTGGCATGCAATATTCAAGCACAAAGTGTAAAACTTTTGAGATTATAACTTGCTGAATAGAGCATTGGAATTTGCATCGGAGAATTTTTTTTTTTTCAAGAATTGAGTACCAAACCTGGCCACACTTAAGCATCTGCGGACATTTTACTACTATCTGTGCACTCGGAGTCTTGCCTTTGATCCCTCTTCCCCCTCCAGAGTATAATCTGCTCATCCTTGAACAAAAGAGGGATGCAAGGTACTAGATCCTGAAAATATAAAGTTCAGAAAAAAGATAAATTTAGGGATGAATTCGAAGCCCACAACTACCACTAAACCATCTAACTTAACCAAAACATACCGTACCCTTAATTTCACGCCTATCCTTTTGCAATCGCTGGTACCAACATGGGTGCAGTCTAGTCTCACTACCTCTTCAGTATTGAAGGTCTCCCTAACTCTATCCACAACATTCACATACACACCATTTCTCGCTGAGGACAAACAAAATTGGCATAAGAGAAAAGAGCATCATCTGAAACATCCAAAACTCAAATTCACTTACCAAGTTCACTAATTTTAAAATACGACACTTACTCAGCTTCATCAGAGGTAAACAGTTTAGTCCTATGTTTCTTAACTCCTTCGTTTCTTCAAATGTCAAGCCGTCAGCAACATTCTTTACAAGCCTTGGATATATCGGAGGATACGGCTTCCAGAGCATTACAGGTATTACTGGTCGATTCTTCGGATCATAGTTTCGACCCCGGTATAAAATGAGGACATTAATATGCCGGTAAATAATCTTCCCACCGGACTTGTCCTGCACATACACTACTACCCCCATCAGCTAATAATCTCTGAACACCGAAATTCAACGTATTATGGATATATGGACAGCCTGAGTTAGGTTCAAACCTCAAGGTGGAAGTAAACATTGTCCATGTCAAGAGTTGGCACTCCCAAACACTTGATCCTCACCGCTTCGGCTCGCTTCCAGTGGTTGTGGATATCATCTAACATGTTATGTGTAACTCCTCCCTTTCCTGACACAAACAATTTAATCCTTCAGTCCCTTCCCATCAATTCAATGACTACAAAATCAAACCAGCATTGAGCATATATAAACAGTTACACATGGTACAATGCAATGCATGATCAATTTCAGAATCCTAAGCCTTAAATCCCAAATTCCTTACCCATATTGATTTGCCGGGCGCAATCACTATGACGGTACCGTTCCACCAGCTCCGCCACTTCCTCCTCCGTTAGCGGGTCTCCGAGAACCCGTTTTTTCTCCTCCGCAACCCGGTCCAAGTCCACTTCTTGTTGTACCGCGGCAACAGTCCCGGTCCACTTCCGATCAAGCCGACCGGGTCCGAAAGGAGAGAACTTGGGCGACTCCCGGAACGCAATAGGTTTGACCGCCGGGTTGGTTTCCGAATACGAGTAGCTGAAGTCGAAGGGCAGGTCCGATTTGAGAGGACGGGTCGGGTCGTTCTTCGGGTCTGGAGCTTTATCCTGGGTTTTGGTTTTCTTGGGCTTTGGGGGTTTGGAAACCGGAGAGAACGGAGGGTCGTATTCATATGGGTCTTCGATGAGGGATTGACTGAGAAGGCGGGAGAGGGAGAGGAATGGTTTGGTCGGGTCTAGGGTTAGGGTTTTGTGAGGTAAGGGACGCCATGAAAGTAGCTTCAGCATTGCAGCAGAGAGTGAAGTTTGGTTTGGTTGCTAAACAGATACTTTGGCATTGAGAGAGTGTTCAAGAAATGGGCAGAACTGTCATTTAGCGTTGCAAATGAAGGAATAATATCGTAATTTCGGTGCCGCAGTACAATACGCATGTTGTCTATATTTCCTCGTTCAAAGAAAATTAGTCCCAACACAAAACGTAACATGTTGTTGCTAGATTTTTGACAAGATAGAGATAATTTGATGTGTGTTCACATCATGGACCGTGAATTTGAAGATTCGTTTGATGCCTATTTTATTTTAATTATTATTTTTGTACCATGGATAAAGAAAAACTACGTGGGACGAAAAAAAGAAGATAATTGATGGCAAACAACCTCCAACGCTTTTTTGTTTATTGAATAGTTGTACTTCACGTCCTTATCATTGAACCACTTGTTGTGATTAAAAAGAAAATAATGTTAGACAAATTAAATTTGTGGACCAATTTTTTTGCTAAAATAATGTGCCGCCAATTAATTTGTATTTTAGTTTAAGTTAAGGCCTATGATTAGTAATTGTAATAAAAGCGTTTAAGTTTATAAAAATTGAACTTTAATAAAAAGTTTCTGGTACTGTTCACTTTAACGAAAAACCACATTTTAAAACTAAAAAATCAAATCATGATACTATTCACTTTACCTTTTATTTTATCCTTATTGTTAAAACTTAAAGTTTTCAAATTATTTTTTTTAGTTTTTCTTTATAAAAATGGTCATTTAACAAATATTTTTAAAATGTTTTTAGTAAAAAGTAAAGCACCTAGGAGATGCTATGCACAGAAAAAAAGGGACGTACTCTTCTTCCATTACTCTCTTCCAAGAGATTTTTCATTGTGAGCGGTATACAGGGTAGTACATCACGTGTTACTATATAAATAGTGGGATATGTATGCTAAAATATTAATAACTTCAAAAATAAGATGTCTCACCAATCCTATTAAAACACGTGGTGTACCACTTATGTTTCCGTCATAGCTAAAAATTTATCCTCCCCTCCTTGTCCTTCATTTTTCCCATATACTTTCACTTTTATCTCTAGCACAAAATACAAAATACACATCTCAATATCGCTTTCTTCATCACTGGGTTTCGAGATGATGCAAAATTGTACTAAAGTAAAGTGGAGGACAAAACTCAGTCCGGCCCCGGCGAGACATTGCTTAATCTCTCCTCTTTACATCGAATCTGGTCCTCCACCATTGACTCGAAAACATCCAAGAGGTAGTCCAGCCCCTTAGGGCTGTCCCCTACTGCCTTCAGGGCATAAACAATGCTCTCAACGGTGGACAGAAATCCCGGCTTTGACTGCAGCCTCACTTCACTGTACAAGATCATCTTGTCCAAATTCAACTTCAAGTGCAACAAGAGTTTGAACCAGGGGTTTTTCCCCATACATTCTCTTTGCCTTTGTCCATGTTCCGTCCAGCACTACCAGATTGTTCACCTTAACATTCATCGCCTCAAGGTTGTCCGCACTGACTGCTTCTTCAGATGGAAATAAAAGTACAGATCCATGAGGAACCTCTACCTCAAACTCTACACATTCATCCAACTCCAAACTGTTAGGATAAAAGATTAGTATTGTTTTACATTGCCAGGTGTCACAAGTGTATTGAAGAATCAAGAAGTCAGTTATGTGTCATTGTATTTATAAGGATTTCTGATGTAATAGTTGGACATAACGAAAATACAGTTTCTCTCTCTATATTCTCTCTCTTCGAAAGCTCTCTTCAGTTCTTCCTAAGTTCTTCTTCATAGTTTGTTCTTAGCGTTATCATGGTATTTTCGCCTGCCATGGTTAACACCTTTGATTAACGATTCCTATGCTTCCGCTCGTCGTAGTCGTCGTCGTCATAGTAGTCGTGGTTGTTCCGGTGATCGACATCGGATGTTCGTTGCTGGTTGCTCGCAATTTTAGAGAAGTGTTGATTTCTCAAACCCTAAGTCGGTGAAGGTTCTTCTTGTCGGTTGTTCGGTCTGCAATTGGAGACTGTTGATCTGTTCGTTGATCTGTGCAGCTGCTGCTGTGCCGTGATTTGTGTAGACCGGTGCCCTACGTCGGTGGAGTTTCTTCTTGTTGGTTGTTTGTCGCTCTTTGCAGCTGCCGTCTTGATAATCTTGAGGTGTTTTCTTTCGATTTCTCAGTATTGATTCTTGCTGCGTGATTCTTGAGGTGTTTTTCTGTTGCTTTCTTGAAGAATCCATAATTGTGGTCGACGATTATCTCCATTGTTGATCTGTTGATTCCTGTTACTTCAGTATGGTTACTGCTGCACAATTAGCCCTCACTCAATCTCCAATTTCTTCACTTATACCTAGTGTTAGAAACACGGTGATTGTGAAATTGGATGATTCGAATTATGTTACTTGGAATTTCCAGATTTCTTTGTTACTAGAAGGGAATGGAATTATGGGATTTATTGATGGAGCCATTCCTTGTCCTCAGAAATATAATGAGTTGGAGTCTGATGATGAGTTGATTGTAAATAATTCTTCGCTGACTGATGCATATAAAGTTTGGAAAATTCATGATAAAGCTCTTATGACTTTGATCACTGCAACACTATCTTCTGCTGCATTATCTTGTGTTATTGAATGTCAAAGCTCCAGTGATATGTGGACTCATTTGAAAGAAAGATTTGCTCATATGACTCGCACTAGTATTGTTCAAATGAAGATTGATTTGCAGAACATTAAGAAAGGGTCCGAATCTGTTGATGCTTACTTGCAAAGGATTAAAGAATGTAGGGATCAGTTAGCTATTGCTGGGGTTGTGATTTCTGATGAAGATATTGTTATTGTGGCTTTAAGAAGATTACCTACAGAATACAATACCATTAAGTCTGTGATTTGGGGCAGAGAAAGTTTAGTCTTATTGAAGGAACTTCGGTCTCAGTTGAAGGCAGAAAAGTCTACTTTGGAAGAAGGTCTTAAACAACCACACTTAATGGCAGCTATGCTTGCTAATACTTCCAATACAACTTATGAAACTGGTGGATCTTCCAATTCTCGTCCATATTCTGGAAACTTTGATCTTGGTTCTCATACTTCTTCCTTTTCACCAATGGCTCCGTTTCAACAATTGCCATTTCCATCTCCCACTGGTCCTGTTGCTTTTGTTTCTCAGACTGGTTCTGGAACTTACAACAATTTCAGGGGGAATAACTATAGAAACAAGGGTAAAGGGAAAAGGTTCAACACTGGTTTTCAACAACCTTCTGGATATCAAACTTTGCTCAACCCTCCTTTCAGTCACAGTCTCAGTTTCCGAATTCTGGTTCTCCAATGGCTTCAGGACAATTTTTTCAACCATTGCTTGTTTGTCAAATATGTGATAAAAAGGGCCATGTTGCTTTGAACTGCTTTCAGAATGGCTGCCAAATCTGCCACAGAAAATGACACACAGCTGCCACTTGCTTTGACAGGAACAATAATGGATCTATAATTGTGCCTACTTTCTCCTCATCTCCTATGATGTTTCCGCAGCATTCATATCCTCAGACTTCTTCACAGTTGTAGCCACATCTTCAATCTCCACCTTCATTTTCCTCTCAAGTGCAGCATCCCACTATGAGGTTGTCATCATAGTTTCATAATGGAGTGATGTCTCCCAATAATTCGCAGGCTGCTTTTACTGCACGCACTAATTTCTCACCATCAGCCCCTACACAAGAATATTGGTTGCTGGATTCGGGAGCCACTAATCATATGACATCCGATTTGTCCAATCTGCAAGCTGTTACTCCATATGCTTCATTAGAAACTGTGACTGGTGCTAATGGTGAAGGTTTACAAATTTCACATATTGGTCAAGCTAGTTTATCTACTCATTCTCATACACTTGAGTTAAATTCTATGTTACATGTTCCACAATTGTCACAACACTTACTGTCTATGTATCAATTATGCAAAGACAACAATTGTACGTGTATTGTTGATGAGTTTTCTGTGTGTATACAGGACAAGGTCACCAATAAGGTTCTCTATCAAGGACTGAGTAACCAAGCTGTCTATCCTCTTCCACTTCTCAAACCACCAAAGACATATCCTGCCGCCCTTTCTTGGACAGAAAATAAATGATTCTCTTTGGCATTGCCGATTGGGTCATCCCACCAATTCTGTTATACAAGTAGCTCTTAGTAAGTCAGCTATTAATTCCTCTTGTAACTCCACGTCTCAAACTTGTACTGCTTGTCTACAAGGCAAGTTCACCAAGTTGCCTTTTCCTGTAATGGCTTCCAAATCTTTTGTTCCACTTGAGGTCATTCACACAGATGTATGGGGTCCATCTCCTACCAAGTCTATAGAAGGGTATAGCTATTATGTGTCGTTCATTGATGAATGTACACGATATACATGGATTTTTCCCATGACTAATAAAGCTGCTGTCTTTGAGATATTTGTTCAGTTTCATGCCTATATTCAAAATTATTTTTCTGCAACTATCAAAGTTTTGCAAAGTGATGGTGGAGGGGAATATGTTAGTACTCGTTTTCAAAACTTTCTCACAACCAAAGGCATTGTCCATCACAAATCTTGTCCATACACCCCTGAGCAAAATGGTTTAGCCGAAAGAAAAAATAGGCATCTTGTTGAAACTGCTGTTACATTACTTCAAAAAGCCTCTCTTTCATCTCAGTTTTGGTTTCATGCATGTGCTACAAGTACATATCTTGTTAATAGACTACCTACTTCCGTGTTAAAGATGCAATCTCCATTCGAAGTGTTGTATAAATCCCCACCTATACTTGATCACTTGAGGGTTTTTGGTTGTGCTTGTTACCCTTCCTTAAAACCTTATAGAACCAATAAACTTGATCCTAAGACCACTATGTGTATATTTTTGGGGTATGCTGCTCAATATAAGGGGTATATTTGTTATGCTATAAGAGATAATAAACTAATTGTCTCTAGGCATGTGTTGTTTGATGAATCTGTCTTTCCTAGTGCATATGGTCTGTCTTCTTCATCCTTCAGTCCTACTGTCTCTTCTGCATCCATTCCAGTTTCAATAGCTCATCCTACTACATTTCATCATCCTCCACTCATTCCAATACCATCTCCACACATAACATCTTCTCAACCATCGGTTACTCAGTCTACTTTTCAGCAACTTGGTGATCTTGGTCCTACTGGAGGCACTTCTGCTTCAAGTTCAGCTTCTTCATTGATGCTATCCGAGTCTCATCCTGATGTCACCAGTTCTCAAGTTCCAGATTTGCAACCTGTCTCTGTGGTCAGTTTTAATACTCATCCCATGCAAACAAGGTCCAAGTCAGGGATTTTCAAAAAGAAGGTTTTTTCTGCTGTTGTTCAGGAAGATGTCAAGGAACCTCAATCTTTTAGTATTGCTGCTCGATCCTCTCAGTGGAGACAAGCCATGACAGAAGAGATGGATGCACTTATTAAATAGAAAACATGGACTCTTGTTCCTCTCCCATCTCATAAGAACTTGGTGGGTTGCAAATGGATATATAAAGTCAAAAGAAATCCTGATGGCTCTGTGGCCAGGTATAAGGCTCGTTTAGTGGCCAAGGGGTTCTCTCAAGAAGCCGGTCTCGATTACTATGAAACTTTTAGCCCCGTGGTTAAGCCTACTACGGTTCGGTTAATGCTCTCACTGGCTGCTACAAAGGGCTGGAAACTGACGCAGTTAGATGTTAAAAACGCCTTTCTGCATGGTTTTCTCGATGAAGAAGTGTACATGTCTCAACCACAAGGGTTTATTGACAAGGATCATCCAGATTTTGTATGCAAATTAGAACGGTCTTTGTATGGCCTCAAACAGGCTCCTCGTGCTTGGAATGAAAGATTTTCGAGATTTCTTCTCAGTTTGGGCTTCAAATCCCCCTATATCGATCCTTCCTTATATGTCAAAAGTGATGGTCCTTCCCTTGTTGTGTTGCTGTTATATGTTGACGATATTATACTCAGTGGTGATGATGATGTCCATGTTCAGTCTGTGATCAATCAATTAACCAGGGAGTTCGATATGAAAGACTTAGGAGTCCTACACTACTTTCTTGGGCTGCAAATTGAGTATCAACCTCAGGGCTTGTTCATTCATCAGTCCAAATATATAAAGAACTTGCTGCATAAGGCGCATATGTTTGACAGTAAGCCTTGTACCACTCCATGTCATCCTAATCAAAAGCTCTTAAATCATGGTAGTCTTCCATTTCATGATCCCGGTCTTTATCGAAGTATCGTCGGGGCATTACAGTATCTGACTTTCACTCACCCTGATATAGCATATTCTGTAAATCAGGTATGCCAGTTTATGCATTCTCCTCTTGACAGTCACTTTGTTGCTGTAAAACGCATACTGCGGTATCTCAAAGGTTCTTTGGATCTCGGTTTGTGTTTTAAACCTGGTAATTTGGATATAAGAGCTTACACAGATGCTGATTGGGCTGGGGATCCCAATGACCGACGGTCAACCACTGGTTTTATTGTGTTTTTAGGTGATAATCCAATTTCCTGGAGTTCAAAGAAACAGCATACAGTTAGTCGTTCTTCCACTGAGGCAGAATATAGAGCAATGGCAACAACCACTGCTGAAGTTGTGTGGATTCAGCAATTACTCCAGGATCTGTCTTTATCTCCGTCAACAACTCATTTACTCCATTGTGACAATATATCAGCAATGGCTTTGGCAACCAATCCCATTCTGCATTCTAAAGCTAAACACATAGAGATCGACTGTTATTTTGTGCGGGAACGAGTGCAGCAAGGCACCATTATGTTGCAGTTTGTTAACTCCTCCGACCAGTTTGCTGATATCCTTACAAAGGGTCTCTGTTTTCCATTGTTTAGTTCTCATTGTAACAATCTTATGCTAGCCAATGCCCAGCATAAAATTGAGGGGGAATGTTAGGATAAAAGATTAGTATTGTTTTACATTGCCAGGTGTCACAAGTGTATTGGAGAATCAAGAAGTCAGTTATGTGTCATTGTATTTATAAGGATTTCTGATGTAATAGTTGGACATAACGAAAATACAGTTTCTCTCTCTATATTCTCTCTCTTCGAAAGCTCTCTTCAGTTCTTCCTAAGTTCTTCTTCATAGTTTGTTCTTAGCGTTATCACAAACTTCCCTTCAACGACTTTTGCAACTTCCGCGCAATGAACCCCTCTGTCAGAGCATTACGCGCATCTGCGATGTGTAAAATCGTATCAAACTTTTTATCCTCACGCGTTTGAGGCATCCAAATGTGGGATAGAGAGCTCATGACACCATGCTTGCCAATGGTAGCAGCTATAACTGGTGCACCATTATCCATTTCGACACTTTCACCCGAGCCATGAACTACATCAGAAACCCTTGATACTGCGGGTAATGCGGTAGTAGCTGAACCCTCATCGACATTGCATTGCCCATCTACGTTCCTGCCACCAGTGAATTCTTCACTACTGAACTCATGTTCTTTCTCTATAAAATCTACAAATTTCTTCACTAATAAATTCAGAGTTCATTAATTTTAATTTTGAATTAAATTAATTAAAAAACATTTTGATTAATAGACACAATTGTTTGGAAAAAGTCGTGTGGTTTCAAATACATCCAAAAGGTATGAAATAGCCTATATAACTAAAGACTTTCAATTATATCTTACATCATCTTTTTCCTTTATATCTCTCCCATACAAAACCTTACAGAGATTAAACACTCAAAGTAATTTGCCAGAATTATGTAATCCAATGCAGGTTGTAAAATTAGATAGTTGTATCCTGGTCGTGCAGACGTCGTAGAACTACAAGCACAAAAGTGAGATGGAAATACTGTTCGAAGGACATAGCATTTGCACTGGCCTCTATATGCGATTCAATCAAGTTAAGACCATTTTAATTCATGTATTTATTTATATTATTTCATTCTGTATTGCAAGTATTTTTCGTTAATAAAAATTTAGAATTTCAAGTTATGTTATTTTTATTTATTTTTGAATTGTTCTCCAACACCATCAAAATTGCATTTCTCACCATCAATCAAACTACTATTGTTTCTCTCTTTTGCCAAATTTGCAGATAACCCAAAACGCAACTTACCCACATTTTCTTTCCCTGCGCTCACCTCATCACAATACACAAAAACCAGCTTCTGGGTCTCTCTACTTTCTACAAGCTGATCAAACCCTGAACTTTTCAAACCATTTCGGTCCGAACCCATTTGAGAAACCGGGCCCGGCGACCGGATAACGAACCGGGATTCAAAACTAACATCATAAACAGTAACTACACTGAGATTTTTGAGTCCTAATGTAGCAATCCTAGCGGAATTAAGTGGGTGGTTCTTCTCTAGGCTGTGTTGAAGAATGGTGACGTTTACAGAGTTATGGAGCCCAGGGCTCTCAATCCGAGTGCAGAGGCAGAGCCGGACCGGTTTGGAGCACGACTGGCATATAGGTCGTTTGGAAGCGGGCTGAGTAGTCACCATTTTTAGGGTTTGAAGGAGAAAGGAAGGGTTTTGGAGAAGTGAGCAGAAATTGTTGTTTCGGGTCCGAGAACCGAACAAGCATCAATAGGTTCGAGTGGCCATAGTAGGAAATGAAAAAGTTGAGTCAATCAGTGATAAGACGACGGGTAGCTTAATGTTTTACAAGACGACGTGTCGTTTTATATAAAGTCGTTAATGAATATGTAGAATTAGATTGGATTATTACAAATGGCAATGTTTTACTCACTAAAGAAATTTATTTTATTTGAACTTTTCCAAAATGGAATTATAAGAATGGTTTTAAGTTTTTTTTTCGATATGAAAAATCATTCCCTTCAGCATTTAATATATTCTGAATATGATGAATTATTCATTCCAATTCAATCATAGAGACCAAATAAAGATCATACTTTCAAAATAAGTTAGTTCATCCAAGAGTAGCCACAAGAAGTTTAAGCAATTTTGAAAAAATAGTCGAGCTACAGTCATCATGAAGTGGCTCAGTGGTTTGAGACGAATTTCTGACCATATATTCACACGACATGTCCTGAATTCGATTCCTCACGCTTGTGAATTACACGATGGTGACTAGAGAGGAGCCGAAATGCCTCGATGAGTCCCTTTGACCCGAAAAAGTTTGACTGCCATGCGTGATATGTACATAAATCTTAAAAAAATTCATAATGAGGTAAATCACTCGTTTTATAAATTAATTTGGGTATAACATAAATTTCTTTTTAATAACAAATAAGTATCCTTATCATCGAACAAATATCATACTTTAATATATCATGAATATAGTGAATTATTCATTTCAATTTAATTATAACGACCAAATAAATATCATACTTTTATTATAGTAAGCTAGCTCACCAAAGAGTAGCCACAAGTTAAGCAATTTTGAAAAAAATAGTCCACAACCATCACAGGATGGCTCAATACTTGAGAGCGAATTCTTAGCTTGTATATCATACAACATGTTCTGCATTCAATTTTTTGCGCTGATGAATCACACGATAGTGACTAAAATGAGGTTAAAATACTTCTGTGAGTCTTCTCAACTCCTAAAAAGATGAAATGTCATGGCTTAAGCTACTCTCTTTGTAGTAAGAAGAGGTCGTCCATTTTATCAATTAATTTTAGGTGTAACATAATTTCCTTTTTATAATAAGGAAAACTAACGAAAAGTCTTCAAAAACTATAGTTTTAATCAAATGACAAAATAAAGGTATAAGTGAATAGTACCATGAGTGACTTTTCAAAGTAAAAATATCATTTTCGTTAAAAGTGAAAAGAATCAGGAATGTTTCATTAAGATTCTCATAATAAGGAAATGGATCATCTTCGAATCCCTTCCACCAAATCCACCAATCCAGCTTTTAAAATTTGATTCAACAGCTAAAAAGAGGGTTTTTTTTAAAAGTTATAATACTTTAGCTGTTAGATCAAATTCCAAAGATTTGATGGATTTAATGGATTTGATGAAAGGTATCCTCCATTATAATATCATAACAGCTAATCTTGAAACGATCAAATTAAACTCAGTGGTTGAAAAATAAAAATCAAAACTCAGGAGTTGGTAATGATTGGCTAGATGAGTTTTTTGACCGACTGATTCCACGCGCCAATACAACACGAAAGTCTTTGCCTTTAAAATTTTTGTTTCTTTGATTTGTGAGGGATAAGATAAACTAGCGTAATTTTCCCGAGAATCTAAGAGTTTTCCCGGAAACCCATTTGGAGAAAATGCACGATTTCTGCTTGACGATCCCCTACGGCCTGGTGCTGATCGGCGGAGGAGTTTTTGGGTATTTCAGGAAGGGGAGCACGGCTTCTTTGGCTGGAGGAGCGGGCATCGGATTGCTCCTCACTCTTGCTGGATATATGAGTCTCAAAGCCTTCGAGGGGAAGAAGAACTCGTATCCTGCTTTCATTCTCGAAACGGGTACAATTTATTTATTTGGATTTTGGAATTTTGGTGGGTTTGGATCCCAGATTTGTAACGATACTTTAGTAAGATCATAAGACGTTAAAAGGGGAAATAAATAAAAATAAACAAAGCAAATCATAACTGGATCACAAATTAGGTAACTTTTGTTGTTTGATGTATTTGGTAGCATTAACTTTGCTGATAGTTATGTTGGAAATTTGACTTTTGTTTTGTTTTGTTGAGGTTGTTATTTTGTTCCCTCTATTGATCTGGAAGCTTTGTGCTTCTGCAAAGGTGGAAGACTCGTTAAAACTGTTTTTAGGTTTGTCGTTTAATCTTTGTTTTTTGTATGTCGTTATGGAGAAAAACTTACATGCAACTGGGAGCGGAGGTGGCGATATCCCAAATTAATCACGGAAGGCCATGTGAGCAAGTTAAAAACACGGCAGTGTGTATAGGCTTGGATATCGCCACCTTAGCGTCCCCGTTGTATGTAAAGAGAGAGGCACTTTTTGTGCAGAGGAATGCTATACACACCAAAGTAAATCCCAAAGTTATGGTTCTCCACTTCATTTGTTTATGTCTAAGCTCGTTCTAAGGTTTATTTATGTCACAGAACTAAAGAGTTATGCATTAGTCAATGCAGTAAGTTTCGATTTGGTAGGGCGATTTGAAAGAAGTGCATTTAGGTGTTATGTGTTCATCATTGCCTATCAAATTTTAAGAATTGTATGAATTGAGGAGATTGAGAAAGATTATATTTTTATAAGGTCACATTTTTTGGTTTTCCTTGTGTTTTTTATATTTTCATGTTCTGCTCCTGTTACCTTGATGCTCACTCACTCGAAACGTTGTTTTGGAATTGATTGGTGTGCCTTGTAACAGTTTGTGCTGCTCTTCTTACGTGGGTCATGGGACAGCGCTATATGCAAACTTCTAAGATCATGCCAGCTGGTGTTGTTGCTGGTATCAGGTGAGTTCAGATTAATCCGCTGTTGGATATATATTTGCTAATCTAAAATTTGGTGTGCCATCAGTCTGTTGATTGTTAAACATGAGATGTACGGTCAGTACTGCTTTAAGAGGTCGCACTTGGTGCGATGGCAAGTGCCTTCGCCCATGAGCGGTAGGTCTCGGGTTCGAGACTTGGGAGCAGCCTCTCCATAAATGGGGGTAAGGCTAGCCGACATTCACCTCTCCCAGACCCTGCTTAAAGCGGGAGCCTTGTGCACTGGGTACGACCTTTATATGACTTGTTTCGTACATTGCAGTCCCTGTATTTTATTTCCAGTTAACGTATTCGATTTGGTTGTTTAGAATATCTTCCTTCCCCTTCATAGCTGGCACTGTTAAATAATTAATTGGAAAAAGATAACTATTACTCGTTGGTCTGAGTAAGTTTGAGCACCTGAGGTATGCGGAACATGTTTCATTGCAGTTAGTGGTTTGGGGATGGTAGGTTCTTGTTCCCAGAGACATGTAAAAGTATAAAGTAGTTCTGTCAATGATT